GTGGAGGGGAGCTCATTCCATAGCCGGATGGTACGTGGCAAGAAAGACCTCTGGAAACGCACTGTGGATGACCGCAGTGGCTCCAGGTAGTATGGATGAACTCTACTCCGGTGGCGGGCGGTGCGATGGTAAAAACGAGACTTTGGTATCATCTCGAACAATTCCTCAGAGCACTCCCCATGGAACATGCGGTACAAAATACAGAGGGAACCGAAGTCCCTCCGCGGACCCAGAGGCTCCAAGCGATCCATTAGAATTATTAATGTTTTTGTGTATTGATGGGTGGGAATTCGGAGATCTGGCTAGTCTCAACCCGTTCCCAGAGCCTGTTGACTTTGGTTATTATACAACAAAACAATAGATAATAAATAGCTTTGTGAGAGAAATGGGCATATATAGAAACATCTTAGTTCCAAAACACCTTTGGTCGTAAAATATTTTGTGGGTTTTAGTTTAGCTAGTTAGCGATGTCGATGCCAAATTTTTAACCTATGTACTTAGTAAATAATCCTTTCTTTAGACCAGATTATAAATGATTTAAAAAAAAACAGTTATCTGTTACTATACCATTCTTTAAATTCCCCAAACTTTAAAACAAAAAAAATCATCGATTATTACATAGCTGCGTTTACGAAGCAACTGTTATATAATTTGGTGACTCATAATTATGTTTTTAATGTTTCCTATATTATGTTATAAAATTGAAGGTGATATTTTATGAACGCGGTAGGTAAAAATCTGTTCGTATCTAGCCTCGAAACCGCCGTCAAAATGATATATCAAAACCATAACAAGCCAAATATATTTTGTGCACTGATCGTAATTAAGCAGGAAGGAACAAAAACGTGAACTTTATTATATTAGTATAAAGCTTAAAATCGTTTCGAATTTGTATAGAGCGTATTTTGGTCGAATGCACACACGCAGCGAGCGGCGGGCAGCGATATAAAATCATCTCGACAAAAACATCGTTATTTTTATTTCAACCAAGGCCAAGAGCGCCATGCTGCATTTTGCTGTACATTCACGGAACCGAAACGTAACAAGTGACAGCACATTCGAAACAAGTACCCGCAGACGCAGTTTTATTTTGGTAACAATAAATTCTGCTCGCGACATTTTGCTTTTGAAGTTTAATTTTCTTCGTCGACAATGTAGACTTTAAACAAGACCTTGTTTTCCTACATATATAACGTTTTATAGTTTTGTTTCGGAGTCTTGCATGTGTTCTTGTTCTTTTTTTATGGGATGCATTTATTATAATTCGAAATTTGCACACGATTCTACAGCAGACTGCGCGGAACAGTGGTTCTGGTTCTAGAAAGTAAACAAAAAAAAAACAAGTGATACTGCGACATATGTCGCAAGGTGCTGTTTGGCGACATTATCGTGATGTTAATGAGGTCCATAAATATTAAACACAAATGATCATGTCGATCACGCAAAAGATCTAGAAAAAAACGAACCACGTGTAAAGCGGTAGGCAGCGGCTTGGCTCCGCCCCTGGCATTGCTGAAGTCCATGGGCGACGGTAACCACTCACCATCAGGTGGGCCGTATGCCCGTCTGCCTACAAGGACAATAAAAAAATTAAAAAATGAGTATGTAATAGCTTTTTTAGAGCTTCGACGGTTCAATAAGCTCAATGTTCACCTGGTGTAAGTGATTACTGAAGCCTATAGATATTACTACGCGATTGCCGCAATCCATATTGAGATATGAGCTCTGTTTCAATTGCATAGAATAACGACTGTTCCAACTTTCGGCAGACAACAGGGTTAGTGGTACGTACCCGCGCGAAATTACAAAACGCCCTGCTACAGATAACCGCTCTTAATAGTATAACAATAAAAGGTGCAAAATAGTTATTCGCGGATTCAAATCTAATATTTCCAAAAGAACTAACACGCAAAGAAACATTGACAAAAACTAAAATTTACGAAAACGTGCATTAAGTTATTCGTCATGTTCTAAACAATTTTGTCTGTATTATTTATGAACCATTAAATTGGGTATTACGTAAGGGGCCGTTGTCAGTGTTTTTTTTTTTTTTTATAAAAATAATGTAACCCATTGTGCGTTCAAGGTTACCCATATAGAGGTACAGTCGAGCGCACTTCCGCTGACGCAGAGCCGAGCCAAACTTGAATATCAACNATAAGAGATGCAATATAGTTATTCGCGGATTCAAATCTAATATTTCCAAAAGAACTAACATGCAAAGAAACATTGACAAAAACTAAAATTTACGAGAAAACGTGCATTAAGGTATTCGTCATGTTCTAAACAATTTTGTCTGTATTATTTATGAACCATTAAATTGGGTATTACGTAAGGGGCCGTTGTCAGTGTTTTTTTTTTTTTTTTATAAAAATAATGTAACCCATTGTGCGTTCAAGGTTACCCATATAGAGGTACAGTCGAGCGCACTTCCGCTGACGCAGAGCCGAGCCAAACTTGAATATCAACGCTTGTAAAGGGAATAATTAGCATTTCTTTGCATTTCTACTGTACAATAATACTATTACAGACACAGCAGTTTTGAATGATGTTACCATTTAAAATTCCTGTATGTCATTCTAAATAATTGTGTTCGCTTTAAGGATATAGCCATAATTATAATTGAATATGCAATTTCGAAAAGGGCACATGTCGCATATTTTGTCAAATACGTTCTTTCATATACATGTAGTTTTGAGGCTTACCTACACACATTTTATAATAATTCCAGTAATTTTCAATTGCTAATTATTATTAACACTAAAATATATCTCAAAAGTTAATATTTTAAATTTTACACTGCTTTAGAAAATAATCAGTTTTTTTCATGTCCTGAACATTTTACATTTTCATAGATGTGCCCTTTTCGAAAATGCATATTCAATTAAGTATTAGAAATGCAAAACATTATCTTGCGTGTTTACATATTTTGAGATAATGTTTATTAATATAGCACATGTCGAAGACAGAGCGAAGTGTAGTAAAGTCAGGAAAGCTGACCCCACCACAATGTGGGATAAATAGCTGGGAAGAGAGAGAGAGAGAGAAGAGAGAGAGAGAGTTTATTAATATAGCACAAAGTTTGGTTTTTGTCTTAAACAAAACAGGTATGCGACGACCAACGCAAAACAACGCACCATAAAACGCAGTTGTTAAAATTAAAATCTACATGATATTCGCGAATACATAATAAACGTTTTTATCGAAGTTCAAACGTAAACATTGTTATATAGACACGCCCAGTCCGATACGAAAGCCGGTATCTAATTCGCGTGGCCTTGGCAGTGAAAAAAACGTGTTTTTTTTTTGCGCTGCCTTGAGATTTTTTTCGTTTTTGCGCGCTCGATACGATTACGTTATCTTGTTATTGTGCTGTGTTTAGATCTACACGTGTATCGAGTTGCACTATGAATAATATGCGGTAGTTCGCGGCGGTTTGTTATTAACAAACCATGATTGGAATACCATGTTATTAACAAAGACGATGCCAATAAATCTTAGTGGGCGGCTTAATGTGGCTTGAAGTTGATTGTTAATGTAAAAGATAATACAGAGAATTTGTAGGCCACGTCGCGTTCATTAGGATTCATCATTTAGGTTTTTTTTTAATAAATACTTCAGACTCAATCATTCAGTACAAACCAGGATACAATAGCCGAACTAGCTTATGGATCAACTAAGCGCTCATTTTGTGTTTTAACACATTCACACGTCTCTCAGTTCTAAAATTAACAGCCAACACTGGAGATAATTTGAATTGAATATTAAAATCTCAATGTTTATATTATAATAACAAAATTAAAATCACAGCACAAGGATAAAATAAAAGAAACACCAAAATAAAAAAATAAAAAAAACAAAAGACGAATTACTACTGGAGAAACAACTCGACGACGGTTGACGTCATGCAAGTGGCCGGTCGTAAAATTGAAGTGAAATCCTTATGCAGCATGATGAGGAGACATGCATTACCGACCCTACATCATGTGGTATAAGGGCAAGAAGAAGAATGGTAATGATCGGGTTCCATCGGTCGCGAGTGGAGTCAGCGAAACGCCGAGAAAAGTTCAACAGTATAATGAATAATTTGAATGCAAATTGAAATATGGTGTTCAAAATGTGCTTCAATCTATCTATCTATCTATATAAAAACGGATTGCTGTTCGTTTGTCTAGCTAAAACTCGAGAACGGCTGGACCGAATTGGCTAATTTTGGTCTTGAATGTTTTGTGGAAGTCCAGAGAAGGTTTAAAAGGTAGATAAATATGAAAATGCTCGAAATAAAATAAAAGTAACAATTTTGTTTTTCCTTTGATATATATGGCCACCGTCGGACGGATTCCTTTTGTTTGTTTTAAGTTTATTTTATACGAAAGTCTATGTCTTTTATTTCTCGATTGAGGCACTACGAAGTCTGCCGGGTCAGCTAGCTTAAAATATATAATACATCAAACACATCAACGGATCATGTTTCTATACAATTTAGTTTTATTTAAAAATAATACTACGACGGAGTCAAAGCGAACATCTATATCTCATTACCATTTAATTTTTTCGAAAAGTACGTAATTATTTCGAAATGTCAGCCGTTCAATAAAAGGCTATTCCTGGTACGGAACTTCATTGGTGTGCAATCCAAGTTGTAGTTTACCAACTGATACATAAATTTAATGTATTCATTATTATTAATGCAAGCAATCTCAAACTAAGATCTTATCCACAATCTCTTTGCACTTGTAGCGTCTGGAGGCTCGTAAAACGATGTATTATTATTATACTTTGCTTAAAGTATAGTACAGTATCATGATCGAAAAATAGAGTGAACATTTTCACTTTACAATTATTAATTAATGTACATAAATTGATGGATGTGACACACGCTTGTACAGTTAAATAACTATATTTAGCTGATAATTATCTACGCATATTAAGAGAACGAAACAAACATAATCGAAACTTTCATAAGTTCGTTTTGTGTAATAACCTCTCCGTGTTTTCAGAGCTGGGGCTGGCGCCAATGGCATCTTCTCACGAAGACTCGATTTCTCCACCTTCAACCTACTACCGAAACACAAAGTCAACTCTTACCAGATCAAGGTGAGATAGTATTTTTTAGTGAACATACTGATCGTCTGTGAGTTAGCGAAGAAATGGTATATGATAGAGGAGTATGGAAGGAAAAAACATGTTGCGCCGACCCCAGGTGATTGGGAGAAGGGCAGGACAATGATTACGATACTGGTCGTCTGTTTGTATAATAACTGGTGGTATCGTTTATTGTGAGCCAACACGGATAACCTGTCTATTATTGCAGCAAAGCAGTAATGATCCAGTTCAAAAAATCGGACAGCGTTTAATTAGATAGTATACTTCGATCTCATGTTTTAAGATGGGTGGTAGCTACCAAGATGTGATGTCTATGGGTTCTACCAACAACACATTATTACTTGGGCTGTTAGCTTCGACTATTCATCAAGGATTTAAAACAAATGCGTTTCGATTCTTGAGAAATTGATTTCTACGTTATGTATTAATGTGGACCGCTCTCTATTTACGTTGTCATATGTGAGGGTTCCAGTAACTTCACTAAGAAGCTTAACCTTTGATGAACTATGAGCACGTTTTCCCATTTAAATCAATAAAGTATGTGTTCAAAATAAAACTAAAACGCAATGTACACAGAGTCTAAAATCACCAAGCCTTTTATTTAGAGGATTGATCGAGGAATAGTTGCAGATATTTGGGGTATATTTTTTCCATTACATAATTTAAGCCCCGTGTGTCAATCGTATTTGTTTACTACCTATTCAAAACTGGTTATTTATTTATCAGCACGCTACTTTGGCGCCGTCTGTCAGCGCACTAGCTTTCACAACCTCCATTGTCAGTCTTCTAAGAACTTAGTTTATCTTTGAACGTACGTTCCGCTATCTTTATACAGAGTACATTTTAAGACCGTATGTGCATCGATTATGTATTACATACAACTTTGTTCACTGTATTTGTATGGTGATAAAATATTTTAATGTTAAAGGTTACAGCGAAGTGAGACTAGCTTTGTTTGAGGCGCCGTAAAAACCACAACTTGACACTTTTCCCGATAAAACATTGTAAGTGACGTAGCACCGACACCCAGCTATATTTTTCCACGAAATAAAATGTAACTTTGTTTTAATTTAAGTGGTTTTACATCCTATGGATTCATATCGTTTGCTGTTTCTATAAAAGGATTATACTATGTAATAAAAGAGGTGTTTCATGACACAAATTCGAAAGTCGTTCGAAAAAATATACTAGAAGTTTTTTTTTCACTTTTTTAAAGTAATTTTAAGGAATCTTTCACTAAGTTCAAGACAAACGTTTCACTTAAAAATTTGTCCATGATGACAATCCATTTTTTTTTCTAATTAGATATCATATCCTGAACAGTGAATGCTAGTGTAAATATTAATACTTCTTTATTTTTTGGTTCAAATTTATTATTAAAAATGTTTTTTTTTTATATTTGTCTCCGTAATTTTAGGATTATTTGCATTGAAAGCAATGTATCTTAAACAAAAATCGCGCGAGAACGGCGGGTGTCCAACAGATGACTTCGCTTTACATTGCGGGCTTACGATATGCAAACAAAATGCAAAAAATATTGTTCATGCTTAGCCTAATAAATTTATATTCTTTTACTTTTTCTTTAGATAATACACATCCCACTGAGTTTCTCGCGGGATCTTCTCAGTGGGTCGCGTTTCCGATCTGGTGGTAGATTCTGCGAAGCACTGCTCTTGCTAGGGCTAGTGTTAGCAACACCTCCGGTTTGAGTCCCTAGAGCTCACCTACACGCTAGGGTAACGATGATATAGCCTCTCAAGGCTATCAGCATAGGTAGGAAAAAAATAGACTACCTATTTAGCTTTTATTGCTTAAAGTTGTAGAGTGTAATTGAAACTTCCAACTCATCATGTTATTATTTGGGCTCTGAGTTCCTAAAAATCGACCGAAATAAACTCCCAAACCATCTAAACACATACCGAAACACTAATGTTGGTCGATGTACTCGCAGCCATGTATGTACATATTAAAAAAAAAAACCTTCACGTAAATAAACCGAAGTGACATAATGAAAATAATCGTAAATACCTAAAGCGTATATCAATATTTACATAGAATTTACGATAGGAATTTATTTACATAATGCACGTTTAAAATTCAGTTTTCGAGTAATGGCTAATGCTTCACGAAAGCTGTTTTGATAAGCCTCACCTTAAAAATCTATATATTAATACGTGAAGCAAAAACTTTGTATCCCTTTTTACGAAAATTGCGCGGACGGAGGAGTATGAAATTTTACACACTTATAGAGAATATAGAGAAGAAGTGCACAATGCTAATATTTTTTTTAAATAATGCATAAAAGATACATTAAATCAATAAAGAAAACATTACACACACCACATACCATGTATTTGACGCACAGACGCATGTATACTATTTATTGTCAAACTTTTGTTCTTGACGTCGGTGGTCAAATTGAGAATAGATTAAATATTGTTTATTTTTATTAATATTTTTTTATAGTGTAGCCTTGGCGAAATTTGTGATTATAGTATGTGTACAAACTTACAATTCCAATTAATTATAGCCGAATTTCGATTACTGCGGGACCTCTAGTACTTATAAAAATTTTAAACAATTAAATATTTTCAAATTCGTTCGATTTTATTATGTTACAAATTGTGTTATTTTTTATTATATTTGATAATAATACGATTTAGCCTTTCTTAATCGATTTGATTACTGAACGCTATACAAAATCGTTATTCAATCGAATCTGAATGATTTTTTGTGTTATAAACAATCGTATCGTTAACGAAACAGTCAAAAGAAAAACCAAAAAGAGTCTTAACGCAATCAAAGATATGCCAAGAAAATTTGCGAAAAATGCAACCCTATTATTCTACAAAGAAGGATCGTTGCAAATATATTATTAAACATTCTGGGCTTATTAGACGAGACGCTTATTAAAAGAGCTCCAGAAACTTTGAATCTTGTCAATTGAAACGGTATTCTGCTATGAAACCCCACCTAATATTTCATTCACTATAACACAAATGTTATTGAATACAAAAATCACACCTATTATTTTCCTTTTTTTTTTATTGCTTAAATGAGTGGACGAGTTTACAGCCCACCTGATGTTAAGTGGTTACTGGAGCCCATAGACATCTACAACGTAAATGCGCCACCCACCTTGAGATATAAGTTCTAAGGTCTCAAGTATAGTTACAGCGGCTGCCCCACCCTTCAAACCGAAACGCATTACTGCTTCACGGCAGAAATAGGCAGAATTTAATTTACATTATTTTAATAATATTCGCACCTATTTATTGTAATTTCGAAAGTGAGTTTGGGGTTTGTCTATCTATAATGCTTCACGTCATAACTAATCAAACAACGGTCATGAAAATTTGCTAACACGTTGTCAGGCATTATTATGCCAAAAACAACATAATATCACTGTGGATTCGATTGTTCTCGAACGATTGTATGTAAATTGAAATTTATTTACATAGCAAACGAATGGAAAATCTAGAAATACAAACAAAATTTTCAAAGAAATTGGTGATTCCTTCCATAATACCCTGATAAAAATATAAATAGGACTGTGAACTTTTTAGAAGGCCTTAATTCACATGTATTCAAAGAATGCAACCTGTTACCGATATTCCTGAAGGTTTTAACGACGGAGGGAAGATCTTCCACCGAGGTGATATTGCTCCTTAAACCGATGGTCCGAATGTTGTTGTTCGAAACTTGTATATGCAAGTTTATCTTGAAAATGTCGTAAGCGAGATTCAGGCATCTTCCAAATATCTTGTGTTGTATGATGGCTACCCGCCACATTCCTGGATTCGATATATTTCTGGATCTTACTATGTAATTGCACATCCGATGTATTTGACGAGTCCATTGGTCGTCTTGATCTTATGTAAGTACCGGAGTTCGTTGACAACGAGCCCACTTTGATACACGAATTGATAGTCTCGATTGTGTTGTCGGATATCTAGAAATGGGATATTGATACCCACCCTTGTACTCTGGGCAATATATCTTACCACCAATCGCTGGTACATTTTTGGGTTCTATTTTCTGTAAACAATAAAAAACACAGTTTGGGGGTACAAGGAATGGAGAGCAGAAAGAATTTGATACTAAAGTGCTATGAAAATAGAGTTGCAATAGCTAAATAGTCAAGTAATGTACGATCCTCTGATCTAAGCTCATTGAAATTCCAAGACGAGTGCTTATTTAAAAAAAAATATCTTATCGAAGGTTAGTCATATTGTAAGAATAACTAAAAAAGACATCAGAGCAACTAACCTAATCCATTATGCACGTCCGCAACATGTTAGTTGTTTGTATCTGTTAACCACTTAAGTAACTTACGAACATTCGCTGGATAATTAATTATTGTATTACGTGTTTAAATATGTGTCAAGTAGCAGACATATTTTTTTAAAGAACATCTATACGTGAAGCAAAAACTTTGTATCCCTTTTTACGAAAATTGCGCGGACGGAGGAGTATGAAATTTTCCACACTTATAGAGAATATAGAGAAGAAGTGCACAATGCTAATATTTTTTTTAAAATAATGCATAAAAGATACATTAAATCAATAAAGAAAACATTACACACACTACATACCATGTATTTGACGCACACACGCATGCATANGTAATACCAAGAACTACATCTAGTTCCACAATACAATAAGCACGAAATTTTAAACAAATATTTTTAACCTTATAAATTAGGCTTTAAGTATCATTTTAGAATAAATATTTTTGTACTGATGTCTTTTTATGTTCAAGTGACATTTTAAATTTATTCCATAATATTCTTTTTCTGACGAAAGGACCTAAATACATATATTTTACAATGGTAATTAAACTTTATGTTTAAGTATTAAGGTTTATAATAAACTGAAGTCGTTAACATTATTAAACTTTTTTCTAAGAAATGAAGATGTTTTCGTGTCTGCAAACGTGGCCACTGGAGCGTCTTATTTTTGTTCCTGATCTTTAATCTAGTACTATTATT